GAAAGTTCACTGGGAAAGTTGAATGCCACAGGGAACAAATATAACATGTATGCAAAGGAAACATAAACCATGCCCCTATATGTTGGAATGATGTACCGAAGTAATAAGAGTTTGTTGCTTCATCAAAGTAGTGCTGAAACATGTGCAGCTTTCATTCCAAATATCCAAGTGTCATGTAGGCACAACTTTAGCTGACAGTAAAACAACTGAAGAAAATTCTTTGACTAGCATGAAGTGTGTGTGTTTGTGTGTGTGCGCGCATGTGTGTAGATCCCGGACTCGATCATTTCTCGAGGTGTTCAGGTGCTTCCTCGAGATTCTGCCTCTTTAAGCTCCACCCCTTCCGAGTCACCACGGGCAACACAGGCAACCTCCCGCCTTTCCACCGCCTCATGCCCGACACCCAAGGTACACACAAACTTTCATACATGCACACAGAAATGAGCACTAAGAAATCAGAATCGCTGAAAATTAAAATCACTTCCAACCATAAAAATTGCAATTAAAACAACATGTGGCACTTTGCATGACACTGCAGTATTTCTAGAGCATGTGCACCGTTACTACTAGCAGCAGTGGAAACCTAGTTCAATTTAAATTAGACAGTAAAGGACAGTTCCTGCATGATTGGAGTTTCTGCTTATTTCCCGGATTCCCCAGCCTTTTCCTGTCATTTTAGATATATTTTTCGATGTTTTTATTACTTATTGTAACAAAATTCCAGAGAAGAAGAGGTTGCTCATATGATTTTCTCAAAAGCAGGCATTCATTCGGATGATCTTGAGATTTGCTTGGTTCCAGTGTAACCACTGAGACCACTTCCTAAAATTTTAAGTGTTATGGATGGGTATATTTAATGGGACTCCCAATCTTTTTTCAGTTTGGCTCTAGGATATATATGCAGTGTGTATATAAATATATCCATATGAAGCTGGATGTTAGTCCGATGTTACAGTTCTAAATCGCAAAACGTGATTGTTGGCCTGTTGCTCACAGTGATGGATTACCTTTCCTTAACAAATGAAAATTCCCGGGACTTGTGTGGTGTTTGGAATTGAATGGGAGTGAATGGGACTGTGAGGTTTGGCAAAACTGAAATATAAACATCTTCAGTTGTGGTACATTCATGCAAAAACTGCCCCAGTTAATGGATGTCAAGAAGCTGAAAATGGGAAAAAGTGCAAAAACTCAAATTATGCTGGAATTGTCTTAAAGCTCATGTTGAAATTATGGTGTTATTTGTATTTACCTACGTTACAGTGAAAACCTGGATTGTATTTGAAATTGGGTTATAAAAACTGACAAGTTCTATTTCTAATTCCACTTGTTTTATACATATATTTATCATATTTTCCGTAAGAAGCCACCCTATTTTCCAATCTTCTCCCATTTTAATTTACTGTTGATGATGTTTGCTGTTAATACAAACACTTCACCTCCATTTTACCTGCTGATTTGATAAAGGTCCACACCACTAATTCTGTCAGTACAACAGTCATGTTATATTCACCACTGTTTTGCTCTGACTTCTCCGACACAAATGATGTTTTTCTTAACAAGTTACTGTTTTGAGTTGCTTCCATTTTTCTTTTTGATCACCGTTTTAAGACACTGTCAACAAAACTTATACTTCCTGCACAAATATTTTACATTAAAAGCCTTACAGCATCTTAAAAGGCACAATTCTTCTAATTTCTGACTGACTTTTAATTTGACACACAGAAGAGAGAGAGCGCACACATTCCCCAAGTTGGGCATAAGTGACAAAAGCAACATACAAAGGGAAAGGAATAGTAATCAAGTTTGCAAACATTTCATGACTGTTTTGAAAAACAAGATCTTCTTTGGAATAATGTCTGATAAAGATGGATCATAAACATTTTGAGAGTTCTCAAAATTTAGGGTGGACTCCCTCTGCTTTTCCTTTGAAGGCTTTTAATTTGAAATGTGCAGGAAGTGTTGAGTTTCAGTGATTGTACCTTATCAGTAGCTAAAACAGTAGAGGTGATTGGAATTAATTGGTGAATGTTAAGTATTTGTTTTAAAAATGGGAACTCAGAGCAGCAGACTGGTGAGTAAGACCTATTGTTTTAATGATGGTATTAGTGCTGTGCAGATGTACTTAATGTTGAATTGCCTTAAAATCATAGTACAGGAATTTGCACTGCTCCTCTGTGTTTTTTTAATTGTCCTTTATTGTTGACCAGCATTCATTTGTTTGTGCTCGACACTGCCATTATTTGAATACTGACATTATTTCAGAACATACGGTGTTTGGTTTTTTTCTTCATTGTTAAGCAGTTTTTTACTTTTAAATGAAGAAAAAGGCTCCGATTTTAAAATATACTACAACTGGCAGAGCAGAGTGTTAAACAAATAAAGAAAGAAGAAAAAGTATTGATGACCTCTTGAGTAAATGAATATGATAATTGGAAAAGGTCAAATGTCATCACAGGTTTTACAAACTGCCTTGATAAAGTCCGTCAGAGCAGGGATGGACAGCAGACACCAGCTGATATGATCTGATATGTGATTAAAGAATAGGAGTGAGCTGATATATCAGTAGAACCCCATGTTCATGCTTGTTTCTAATAATCCTGTGTTGTCCTGTGCCCTCAGGGAATTAAACAGAGAGCTGCTAGTGTGCTGGTTTTAAACATTACAGCTAGAATTCATGTTCTTTATGATTCCATGTCCTATAAATTACTATTACAGTAGATATATCAACATGAAAGGTTATGCCAGACTGTCTTGTCATAAAGAATATGTATTTAAGTCATTCACTGCAGACATTCGCTTCAAACAATGGCCAAATATAGAATATCTGTCTGTCTTTCTGCAGGTTCAGTCACGATGTGGCAGTAATGAGAACATTCTGAGAGCCAGTAAGTTCAGACTGTGTGTGTGTGTGTGTGTGTGTGTGCGCGCGTGTGCGTGCATGTGCGTGTGTGTGTGTCTCATTAACATGCAAGCCACCAGAAGCTTAAATCACTGTAGAAAATTTAGAAACTCTGTGGTATTGCGTGTTATAGTGTATTCACAGTACATTTACTCACAGCCATCCTCTGGAATGTTGTCTTTGTGTGCGTAGGCCACAGCGCAGTGGACATCAGTAAAGTGGCACGTCGCCATCGCATGTCCCCTTTCCCATTGACGTCAATGGACAAAGCCTTCATCACTGTTCTAGAGATGACACCTATTCTGGGAATTGAAGTCATTAACTACAGAGGTGAGTCTCCAGACGTGTGTGTAGGTGTGCATACTGTATGTGCATTTGTTTTCTGTTTGACTTGGCTGTCTAGTGCTATTTTATGGCCACAGAGAACAATGTAAACAAACACTCAGTGGTCTGGAGCAGTTTGGTGCTCAGATGCTCATCCATACACTTGTACTATAGTCATTTTTGTATCATTGTGTATCTGATGAAATGCTTGTCATCACATTGTGGTTAGCACTAGATTGAACTGGGTTGGACTTTTCTCTGCAGACGGTTTGGGTCGAGTGCTCGCTCAGGACATCTATGCCAAAGACAACCTTCCTCCATTCCCTGCCTCTGTTAAAGATGGCTACGCTGTACGAGGTGAGAGCACCAGTACTGTCTCATTTCATACACTAGGTAAACATTATGCCAAAAGATGCAGTTGTAAAATGGGATCCATGAAAATGCCATTAAACATTTGCATTCATCATTTTTTTTATTTGTTGGCATTGGATCAAGAGCAAATTCTTCACACACATTACTGTATGTAAGCTGTCCTCTTGGTTATTATTGGATGAAAAATCAATAGTCATGTTCTAATTTCCATAATTAACTTGGTTAACATCATTATCATTGACCTGTAGCTGCTGACGGCCCAGGAGATCGCTTCATCATGGGAGAATCACAGGCTGGACAACAGGTCAGCTCTAATACACTAACACTATGCAGAAAATCCTGAATCATCCCATTAGTTTAGCAGTACAGCTGCTCACATTGTTAAAAACACAAGTGTGGCATCTTCACTCATACAAACATTACTAGATATTTTAGGGTGGCCACTATGAGTAACACAGCTAAATAAAATATGCTACCTTCACTAGTAGTAGCACTACTATTAAAGATTCCAGTGACTGTGTTATAAAATCTCTGGGCCCTGTTTTAATGTTGCAAACACAGTGACCAGCACAGAGTGTGTGGGTGTGGGCAAGCTTGCTTGCTATTTTAGTTCAAGTATGTGCAGCAGTGAAAAGTGGAAAAGAGAGGGGTGAGGCAGAATTTACATCAGAGGATGTGGTGATTAATAAGATACTCTCAGCCAGTCACATCACTGGTCTAGTAGCTCTGAAACAGCTCAGCCTGTCACAGTGATGCATGCATCACACTGCATTTCAGCCATGAAAGATGACACACCAATGTTGCCATAAACACTGGAATAGGAAGCAGTGGTGTGCAAGATTAATGAATCCTGTTAATATGACATCTGCATTCAGCGGCTTCAGAAAGTATTCAGGCTTTATTTTCCGCACAGTATTCTGTTGTTGATTTAATTTTAAAAGACACTGCCATTTTGCTCATAAATCTACACTCAATAACCCATAATAATAAAGTGAAAACAGGACTTTAGAAATTAGCAATTTATTTAAAAATTTTGAACTGAAATCTGTCATTTACAAAAGTATTCAGAGCCTTAATCCAGTACTGGCAGCAGTTAGAGCTTCCAGTCTTCCTGGGGAACTCTCTACTAGCTCTGCACACCTGGATTTGGGTAGTTTATCCCATTCTCTCCATCAGATCCTGTCAAGCATCATCACATTGGATGGGAAGTGTCTGTGAACTGCCATCTTCAGGTGTCTCCACAGATGTTCTCTGGGGTCAAAGTCTGGGCCACTCAGGGACAAAGACTGGTCCCGAGGCCACTCTACTGTTGTCTTGGCTATATGCTTAGGTCTGTGCATACTGGAGAAGGTTTCCATCAAGGACCTCTCTGTGTTTGGATGAATTCCTCCTTCCCTCAGTTCTGTGTATTTTATACACCATTTTTATACTTTTTTATGCTTTAAAAAATATTTTAAAAATACAAGAAATAAGCATAAAAATAAGAGTATAGGAAATAAGCATGTATATTGAGTAACATGTCAAGTTTGTAATTTTATCATTGCTGGTTATTGGGTGTAGATTGATGTGCAAAAATGGCCATTTTTAAGTCTACAACACAGTAAGGTGTGCAACAAATGAAAGGGTCTGAATACTGTGTAGACTTGACTCTATTATGACTTCATAAGTAAAAATACAGTAACTGCAGGCTATTATAGTAGAAGCACCTGATGATCATCAGACTCTGTAAACATTGTGTGTTTGTGTGCAGCCGACCCATACAGTGATGCCAGGTCAGGTGATGAGGGTGACGACTGGGGCTCCCATTCCTTGTGGAGCTGATGCTGTGGTCCAAGTAGAAGATACCGAGCTGCTGAGGGAGTCTGAAGATGTAAGTACAACACTTCAGATGTTCCTTGAACAATGGTTTCTACTTGTGGGATTACTTCACTGCTGGACAGTATGTGGCTTGGTGATATTGACTGTCTGTTACAGGGTACAGAGGAGTTGGAGGTTAGGATAATGGTCCAGGCCCGGCCTGGACAGGACATCAGGTAAAAAGTGCTTAAGGAAACCAACAGAGGCCAAGTGATGTTAAAGTCGCATTAGAAAGCCACCTGTTACTTATGTGTGTGTCTGTACAGGCCAATAGGTCATGACATCAGGCGAGGGGAGTGTGTGTTGGCTAAAGGCACACATATGGGCCCTTCAGAGATTGGCCTGCTGGCTACAGTGGGAGTGACTGAGGTCAGCGTGCACAAGTTCCCTGTAGTGGCTGTCATGTCCACTGGAAATGAGGTATTCACATAAACACATACAAATCCACTCCGACTCGTCTTTTGATGTTCATTCTTACAGTTTTGGTTTGCTACTAAATCAAGATGCCAGTTAAATGTGTCTGTTTCTGTGTGTGTGTGTGTGTGTGTGTGTGTGTGTGTGTGTGTTTGTAGCTGCTGAATCCAGAGGATGACCTCCACCCAGGGAAGATCAGAGACTCTAACCGCTCCACTCTTTTGGCCACCATCCAAGAACATGGATACCCCACTATCAACCTGGGCATTGTTGGAGACAAGTAGGAGCATTTTAGCTTTGTTCAACAAACTGCTCTGGCATTGTTGCTGTCAAATCTTTCTATTGCATCAAGGATCTTTGCAGATTAAGGAACTGTATGTTGTGTGCCTTATTTTAAATCTGGGAAATGTAGCTTGCAAAAGTATTCACCACTATACAGTTTGGGGCAATGTGTCAGGAGAAAAAAAAGTTATAACATCTTTGGATAGTGTTAATGTTTGAATTTGTTATCATTTCTTTCCTTTTGGCCAGTCTTACCAGTGACTAACAGCAAGAGGCTTAAATTTAAAAAAATTAAAACGGGTCGAAATTGAAACGGCAGAGTCAGGGATATCCTAACTTTTAGTCCCTTGTAGTATGTCCTAGTTTAGTCTTAGCATGGCTCATCCTTCCCAAATGCTGGATCCAACACTACACATGATGGCACTTACTTCCTTGTAACAGCAGATGTCAAACTCCACATCTTCACTTTGTAAGACAAGCGTTTCATTAGTAATATATAGTTTTCAAGGCTGATCTAACAAAAGTCCAGTGACATCACTGTGGCATCATCAGGGTTATTTTCTTAAACTGAACAAAGCTCCTCCCCAGCCACAGAAGAAAGTATACAGCTGATGTCACAGGTTGAGTTGCACTCCCGGTGTTTAGTGAACTGAGTGTGTACCATGCATGGTTGTGTTTGCAGCCCTGATGACCTGCTGTCTGCTCTTCATGAGGGGATCAGTCGTGCCGATGTTATCATCACCTCAGGAGGCGTGTCCATGGGAGAGAAGGTAAACTCTTTTCTGCTAGTACAACAGATGAAAGCAGTAGACTGTGGTTCAGTTTTACAGTATTATTGCTCTCCACATGTCTGTGTTTGTGCGTCTATCAGGACTACCTAAAGCAGGTGCTGGATATTGACCTTCATGCTCAGATCCACTTTGGACGAGTCTTTATGAAGCCAGGGTAAGATGGGGAGTGCAGAGATGGGGGTTGGGGGGAGGGGTTAAAACAGGGGATACAGTGGCTTTATTCAGGCTTGTCTTATTGACCCTGGTCAGAAATAAGCTGAACCTCTTCTCAGTTCACATTATTCATACTCCAACTACATGTGCTGCTGATTTCACTACTTCTCCTACTACTTATTCTACTATTACTACTACTACTGCTGCTTTTACTACTGTAGTTACTAGTGTCACACCTACTGTAGATGCTACTACAATTTCTGCTGCTACTACTGCCATGTGTAGTATTTCAGCTGCTGCTAATAATACAGTTTCTACTGCTTTTGCTGCTACCATTGCTATTACTACTTCCAATAGTAATGTCAGTTGTACTACTACTGCAATTACAGTCTCTTTTTAGTACTACTATTACTACTACAGCACTTCCACTCCTGCTCTTGCTGTTTTTAGAGTGTTAGTGCAAGAACTGCTTAAACTACTGCTATTATTGCTGGTATTATTGTTAGCAATACTATTAGTACTAATATTATTACTCTAGCCTCCATCCATCCATTATCTATACCTCTTATCCTGCAGTAGAGGGATGGGGGTGGTTGGGTGCCTATAGCCAGTCCCAGCCAACACTGGGTGAGAGGCAGGGTACACCATGTTTAGGTCTGTAATCTATCACAGGGCTGACACTTAGAGACAGACAAACAATCACACACTCTAGCCTCCATTATTATTTTTATTTGTGCTACTATTTTTTTTTTTACTATAAAACTATTGTTTTACTGGTGTTCCTGTACAGTGGTACTGTTCCTGCAACTACTACAACAAATGATGCTGACACTACTACATTGTCACTGTTGATAGCAGTGCTATTACTGCTGCTACTGTTACTGATGCTACCACTGGCTCTGACACAGTCAAAGCTACTAAAGGTAAACTAGTTCCCTCTGTGGTTCCTTTCTTCAGTCTTCCTACTACCTTTGCCACAGTTGACATTGATGGATCACGGAAACTCATCTTTGCTCTGCCAGGTAATATATTTCTATCTGTTGCAAGTGTTTGTGTGTTGTCAGTAAGTGTGTATCTCCTTGTTGTTCAGTCCCCTGGACCCTCTGTGATCACTGTTCCTCTGGCTCAACACCCACAAATATTATTCATTTGAAGCCATATGGCATACTGTATGCCACCAGAACAGCAGGCACACTGCAGAAGAGGAGTAAAGCACAGTGATGCAGTTTGTGTACAAAAAGATGTGGTTGTTTAAAAAGTCAGGTATGTGTTGGCTCAGGAATGTCCTACATGTTAACTAACTGAAACTAAGATCTGCATTTTAAAAAACAAAACATAAGAGAGGATGTACAGTACATGAAATCCAACAGAAGGCTGACCTTTTGCATTTACATGGTCCTGATTTCTTTTGGGTAAGTTAAAAAATGAAAACTATCAGCAGCTCAAAGTCAGCGGCACCGAGTAGCTGACATGTACTCTTCATATTGGTGACGGTGGCAGCTTAAATGCCATTGGCCAGAGGAACACGATCACCAAGGTATTTTGAAAATATGGGCAGAGGTGGGACTAAATAGAGCTGGGGCATACAAAAATGTTAGCCGTTTCTTGTTCACCTATGGTAAGCTTCTCTCTTCTCCAAGCAGAAATATTTGATTTGTTACAACTTTGATAATTACTACAAGACGAGACAAATTGGTACTGCTGTGGGAAAAGGTGAAAGTTGTGATAATTCAGCTTTCATTCCAAGTTAGTTTTGTCCCTGTCCTCCCCCTTTTTCATTAGTGTTATTTCATTTGCTTTTGGTGGTAAGAAAAAGATAAACTGAGGAGTTGTCATCCTTGAGAAAATTCAAACTAGAGCCATTAGTGTTTGCGCTGCAGATGGCTGCCTCGGTTCTGTACAGGAAACATATTCCTTGTGTTTAACATATCCTTATCCTTCCTTTGTAGTCCAAACATACATAACAATAACAGCCCAGTCAGCCTTGTTAAGTCTCCTTGTCCTCCAGACAGTTTTGCTAACAGCCAGAAGTGTATTAGTACAAGGTCTCCAGTGATGGTTGTGACTGGCATCAGGGTAAATGTATTCACCAAGTACAATATGTGCACAGTCTGGGCTATACTGATGTAAAGACATAGCAGCAGCTAACACATAGACAAGCACAGTACAGCAACAACATACTTTCCACAAATGGAAACTGTGCAGACGTGTGTTCATTTATACTGCAGACACTGTGTACTGTACAGTATGTATGTAGTAATATATAGATTTTGGTAATTATGTAACTCAGTTGTTGGTACTTTCCAGGTTTTCTTCCCAGTGTTGTGTTGTTTTCTAGGCAACCCAGTGTCTGCAGTGGTGACATGTAACCTGTTTGTGATTCCTGCTCTGAGGAAGATGCAAGGCATTCTGGACCCTAGACCTACTATTATTAAAGCTAGGGTGAGACACACACATACACACAGGCTGTCACTAATTCACAGAGTTGAACTGATGAGCTGTTAAGTATGGAGACACTCCTCCAACCTGGTAACTGACCTTACTGTGAAGAAGCATGAGAAAAGGTTAAACTCCCCTTTGGCAGATCAATAACTTATCACATTAAATGTCTGAAAATATGTGTCACTGTGTGTAAAAATGCATCTCAGAATCCAGCACATGCACAGTAACCATACCCTTTTAACAGTTAATATACTGTAAATGGTGCTGATGAGTGAAGTGTGTGAATGAAGTCAGACATCTATTACTAATTCTTACAGTATGACACATATTTGTAATGTTCAGAAGTGAGCATTATTTGAAAGCAACAGTATTTGATACTATACTGTGCTTGGCCCACTAAGTTGTATAATATTTTGGGATAGTAATGGTTAATTTCTTTCTTTAATGGTTAAAGCAGTGTTTTGACATTTGGACCGGTTGCCACTTTCTGACGCACCTTCACATGGTTGTGTGAAGGCACAGATTTGGTTTTAGGCTTAAGGTTAAACCTAGGTTTAGGTTATGGTAAGAGGGCCATGTCAGTGAGTGTCCTCACAAAGGCAGTTGTACAGACATGTGTATGTTTGTGTTCCAGCTCTCCTGTGACGTTAAGCTGGATCCCAGACCAGAATACCACCGCTGTATTCTAACCTGGCATCACCAGGAGCCACTGCCCTGGGCACAGAGCACAGGTGCGCACACACACATGCACACACACAAATGCACAACACACTGACTGACTCACACATGCATCATCTCTGTCCAGGAAACCAGGTATCCAGCAGGCTAATGTCCATGCGTAGTGCCAACGGCCTACTGATGTTACCTCCTAAAACAGAGCAGTATGTGGAACTGCATAAAGGAGAGGTTGTGGACGTCATGGTCATCGGACGGCTATGATGCAGGTATGTCCTACTCTCATCTGTTTTATTCACCTGTAGTCACACAGGAGACATAATAAAGGGAAAACACTAACTCTGACCATCCCCCACAATGCTTTTCTCCCCAGACTTTAATGACACACTCTACCGATTACCAAGGCAGTGCCAGGACTTCCTGTCTGGACAGGAAACAGGGGAGGGCAGGAAGTGATGCATGTCTACCTGGTCGCCATTAGCTGTGATGTCATATGCAACAGCAAATGGGAGCCAGCGCAGGCTGAATCCTCATTGGTCTGCTCTGAGGAGATCACTGTATTTCAATGGAGAAAAAAATGTGAAAAAAAATATATAAAATATGAGATTTATTCTGTAATAATATTATGATCCCAATGATAATGATTATTAATACTGTTAATTAATATTCTATTTATTATGACTCTCATGGTTCTGATTGAATATTATCATCTTAGTAGTAATCATGCCCTCTTCTCTCCTGTTCATTTGCTTTGTGCGTTCAACATTTCCCTGGTAGATCTAGAGATGTAGAGACTTTTCCCTCCTTCCTCCACTCCTCCTGACCTTGTTTCCCTTTCTCTCCCCCTCCTTTTTCTTCTTCTTTTTCTGTCTTTTTATGCTCTGTCCCCCCCGTATGCAGATATAGGAATTCCTTGATAACTCGCCCCTGCAGTATCACTACAACCCGTCCTAGAACACACTGACCCTAACATCAGTATTGACAGACATATGAACTAAAGGCTTTTAAAAATCTCTTCAATGAAACTGCTGATATAGTTTGTGCCAGTATAGTAAATATGACTTTTTTGCCAGGGGCAAGGATTGTTTGTACTTTTTTTTTTTTTTCATCCAGATAACTCTAAAATCACTAAAACTCGTCATGACTCACACTGAAAACCATGAAACTCTTCTCGGTGAGTTGTGGCTCAGCTGTAGGCAGTGTGAGGCAGGATTTAAATCCTCCCTCACCACACTACATTTTAGCTGCTGGATTTATCTGTTCTGACATTACATACAGTATGAACATGATCATTATAATATAATATGTAATGACTTTAATGATCTGTAGTAATCTCAGAGGTCGTCCACCCTGACCTAACCCTGCATTTAAATGTTTGATTTACCCGAGTTCAAGGTTTACATCATAAACATACATTATAAAATTAAAATACTTATATAGTCTTTGATAAATGTCATTTTTGCATTTTTAAGACTATTAAAAAATAAGGATGGCTTTATTCTATTTTCTATTTTTCCTACTGTCATAAAATCCTAGGAAAAGACCCAACCAACAATGTGTTAGTCAGTACTCCCTACCCCATCTGAGGCCTTCAACCACAACCCAGCTGGTTCCTGCGTACAATGAAAATCTTTAAATTAGTTTGACATTTCAGGAAATACTCATGTTTGCTTCCTAGCTGAGAGTCAGATGAGAAGACTGATATCTGTCTGCCCATCAAATCTGGAGCTACAACCAGTAGACTGGACTCCATACAGACTGGAAGCAGTGGGGAAACAGCAAGCCAGGCTCTGTCCAAAGGTTACTAAAATCCACCTACCAACTCAACCTGTTTTTTCTTTTATGGATTCAAGACATAACGTGTTAATTAGTAAAGAGGCGTGGGTGGGCAGGGTGTGTCAGACCGACATAAGTGTGGTAGAGAGCTTCATATTAAGCAGACATGAAAGAGTGGCATCAATCTTTTCATCTAACTCATGGTAAAAAAGTAAACATTTTTATCAGTATGTCAAACGGTTTCTTTAAAACAGGTGAGAAATATATAGTTCGGGTTTTTTTTAAAGGCTCAGTTATTTCTAACAGCTGACCACTGTAGTTTTGAGCAAACTTTACTAAAACCGAAGTAAACTGTGTTTATTGTGGGCTGTTTTTAGCCAGGGATTTATCCACATTTGACCTTGTGGCTCACTGGTGTGTTTTTCATTGTCATTGTTTTGGACAACAGTGGAGCTCAATAGCACATATGAATAAGATGTATCAGGCTTTGGATACACTCACAGTACTTGGTAGTTGGATCAATTCACGAGATTTGTTGACACTATGAAAAAAAAATAAAATAAAATACTATCATCCTGTCAGTAGCCAAAGATTATTCTACTTTGTTGACAGCCAGTCTCCAAGGCTGGCTTCTTTTTGGCTATTTAGCAGGCATAATTTTTCCCCCCAAATTTTACCCATAAACCACACAAACATGAATGAATGAGTTGTGACATACTATATTCCCAACTCAGAGAAAACTCCAACCCAATGTTTGTTGAAAGCAGGGTGTCGCTTTCAGGTGCTTGTAAATTACACAGCTGGTGTTTTTCTACCATGACAGTGGTAAGGTGCTTGTTAAAGTAAAAATATCAATACAGTTCAAGGTTGTAAATCTAACTGCATCATTTGACTGCTTTTCTGTCAATGTACTGTATGTAGTCTGAGCAGCTCTGAGAAACATAGAAAACCTTGTTTGGTATTTAGCCCACTACAAAAGCTTACTTTACTCCTACAGACTAGTAGACCTGTTGGCTGCAACATCCTGTTGATCAAACACTGACCTTAAATTGTTTACCAGGTAACAAGGACCATTCACATCCATCATAAGACGTTTGTGAGTCCCAATCGTTCACCAATGCACCATGCCTTACCCCTCTAGCTCCTCTTTTTTGCATTGGGATCAGTGCCAAACTTGGTCAAAGATCTAATGCTGCATTCAGGTCATGTTGGGAAAACCGGTACAGAATTATGGCACTTATTTGAATTTAATGGTACGTCACGACACCGGGATGACACAACTGATGTTTTTTTCCTAGATGTCATTGATGCTGCTGATGTAAGAAATATGAAGTCAGCAATATTTACAGACAAGATGCTCATGTCTAGTATGATCTAGCTATTGTCACCTGAATACTGCATTAGTCAGTAATTCTGACCTTTAACTGTCTCCCCTTATAGGCTGACACAGTCTTCCTCACTTCTTCCCTCATTCCTCCCTCTCTTCAACTTACTCTTTCTCTCCCCACCTTCTTCACACTTGCATGCCCATAAAGTGGGGCGTGTCTTTCTCTTTGGGCAGGTCTGATCCCAGGTGAGAGATCAGGGTGCAGCACCTGGGCCTGGCTTCTGATCTGACTAAATGTTACATTTATGGTCATTCGTGATGCAGTTATTGGTGAGGAAGAAGAGTTTTCTAAGTCCAGGCTCTGGTACCAACACTGTCTTTTCATTTATTCCTCTAGCTCAGATGTCAGAAACATCCCAGTTACCTCAAATGCACCATATACAGTATCTATCAATGGCTCATGCTGGGTTCATGTCATGTAAGAAGACAAAGTGGGAAAAATAAAGTGACTTTTTTGCAAGAATTTAAAGGTGGACATTAATTCTTCAGAAGGCTGACATCCAAATTAAAAAAGGATTGAAGTATTCAAATACTCGACTCCATTTATCATTTTTTCGGCAGCATAGGAAACCCATTCGGACATGAACGCAGCATCAGAGCATGTCCTGGCACCTGCCCAAAGAAGACCAGTCAAACCCAGATAGATTCATTTGATTAAGAAGAAGCAGGTTATTGTTAAACTGCCTTTGTACTGAGTGATTCGTAACACTGGACTGAACTCAGTCACACTGCACACACTATAAACTATGACCAGCACTTGTAATGAAGCAATGACACAGCATTCTACTACTTCTGTATAAATATAATGAAGAGGATGTTTTTTCTGTAATGATATTGAAACTGAAGATGAATTAATAAAAATAATCCTGATTATTCTGTATGTTCTGTTTGGGTTTCAAGTCTCTTTTTCCCCAAATAGTCGGTGATGTGATAACAAGAGTAATCGTTGGTGCAGTCTATTTCTGAAGTAGACTCATAATGATTATAAAAGAAGGACTTACAGTAAGTAGATAAGAGGAACATCATCTGACATTGCAGAGTCTATTTATAGGTCTTGCTGCTCCTTTATTTGGGTTGTAAGCTCAACAGCTGGCACATTCAGAAATGCTATAGTTTTTTTGCCATATTGTATGATGCAATTAGCCTATTTCACATGTATCAAGTGTAAATTCTTTTAGTAATAGCAGCAGTGAGGATACAGCTTATTTGTAAGGAAGGTGACAGAAAGATTTAAAATTTCAACATGCATACACTGCACTGGTATTAGTGCTGATACTAACCTTCTTATCTGGTCTGGTATCAACCATAACAAGTAATGTTGTTGTAGTCCATGACTGTGAAACCCAAGTCTCCGAGATTCAAACCCTATGTAAATTCAGTATCTCAAAACATCCCAGACAGGTTTTTCATAGGCCTGTATCTGTTTCTTTGTCTTCATTATAACAGTACTTAAGTAGTTTACTGTACTTTGACTATAAATCTGTTGTGTATTCTACAGTTTCCTGTTTATTTAATCCTCCAGCATATACAGTAGCAATATACTAAGATTTATTTATTGTAAATGCTATGGAAGACATTTTTTCTCATTTCAATATAAGATGTAACCTCTACTGGTACTGTATCTCCTCAGTAGTAACAAATGCATTGTTACACATGACCTTGTATGAGAACAGTAGGGCAACATAACCTTTTATATATTCAGAAAGACCACTAAAGCAACTATGGATATATACAGTTTTGATATAGTCAGTAGAAGGATTGTTTTGAATGCCCATTTCTATCTTAAATCTGGCTTTAGCTAGTGAGGCAAATGTACAAAATGTAATATTTCATTTAAATAATTTAAATCAAAATGTTATTTGTAACAAAAAAATCTTATGTTTGTTCATTGTTTCTGCCCATGTTTGTGGTTAGTTTTGTTTTCTTTGACACTAATTTATGAACAGTAATAATTCCGTTGTATAGTAGCTACGTGTTACATTCCACTGATGTAGAAACGTGTTCGATTGGCTTACGCGAGATTTCTTTCGTAGCTGTATCCAATCAGCATCGCTGTTTTATGTGGTTGGTGGCATCTGTCTGGAGCTCGGAATGACAGTCTGGGAGGAGAGACAGAGAGGGAGGTCAGCACCGTGGGGTGCGATAATCGACCAGCAAGTCTGTTAGAGTGAAACTGGGAATAAGAATAGTAAAACCGGAACTATAAGTGCCTGGCTTAAAACTAACACTTAATAGCGATTTACCTGTTGGATATAGCAGCTACAGGAGTGTACGTGGACGGCTCAGGAACAGAGTGAGTATTCCGGTGTTTTCGATCTGGTCTGAAGTGGCTTTGTTATCAACAGGTGCTACAGAAAGGCGCAAGCTAGCTAGTTAGCTGCTAACATTAGCCTGATAACGTTAAAAATAACCCACCATTGCTAAATAAAGTGTTGTGAGGGTGGCTGCTCGTTAATTTAAACTTATAAAAAAGGTTTATACCAACTGAAGGCACTGTATTTCTACTGAAAATGAATATGATTAGCCTATAACTCAGCTACGTATGGGTTAATTTGATAGTGGAACTGCCTTACTAAAACGGTAAGTTTTCTTAGCTAACTTTAATAACGTTACTCACTTAGCTCGTGTTACCTACCTGTCACCGTTTCAAGTCAAATGCAAGAAACGCTGTTCGGCTTACTTATAATATCATCGTTAACGTTACACGTTGATGTCATGTTATTGCGGCTGTGTTTAATTTTTCGTTTTGCTAACTTAGGTACGTGATTGTAACGTTAAGTCGGCTAATGATGTGCGTTACTGTAACGCTGTATTTTTAAGAGTAACTGAAGTTAAGGCTGCATTTCCGTTTCGTAGGACGCTAGATCTGTTAATGATAAGTTGCAGTTACTTTCCACTGTGTTTAAAGTCGGTGTCAACGCAATCAGACGCTTGACTCCACCTACAGTGGAATCAGAAAGTATTCAGACACCTCCCTTTTTGCACACTCTGCTGTGATATAGAATTAATGTGAAATGGACCAAAGTGCCAAGTTTGCTCACAAATCTAGACTTAATAACCCATAATGAAAGTCAGTTAAAAATTGAAAACTGAAGTTTCTGGTTTACAAAAATATTCAGAACCTTCATTCAGTAGAAGCCCCTTTGGCAGCAGTTAGAGCTTCCAGTCTCTACTAGCTCTGCACACCTGGATTTGGGCAGTTTATCCCATTCTTTCTGTGAGATCCTTTCAAGCCTCACACATTGGATGGGAGGTGTCAGGAACTGCCATCTTCAGGTGTCTCCACAGATGTTCTCTGGGGTTAAAGTCTGGGCTTTGGCTGGGCCAATCAGAGACTGGTCCTGAGGCCAATCCACTGTTGTCTTGGCTGCATGCTTCAGGTCATTGTCATACTGAAAGGTGAACCGCCACCCCAATCTCCGTTCTGTGCATTCTGAAGAAGGTTTTCTTCAAGGACCTCTTTGGCTGCATTCCTCATTCTCCCTGTCCCTGCTGCTGAGACGTCCTCCATGGCATGATGCTGTCACCACTAGGGGTGGGAATGTTGACAAATTTTTATAAATGAGTACTCAGATTTTTTGACAGCGTGTACACTTTTTTTCCATATGGTGGCCCACTACCCAGAATGTGAATTACAGCGTGCCCCCAGAGGTGCAGGAGCGATGACAGCAGATACTGAAGAGAATTCAGTAAAGTTGGAAAGATTCCAAGTTCTTGAATCAATAAGTCATAAGTGAGATGTTGTTAAAACACATATGATGCCTTTTACAACAATATTGGGGTAGACAACAAGCTATAGACAAATTTTCATCAGTGCAAGCTGGAGATGGTTTCACAGCTGGCTGCACATAGAGAGCAGTTTGTGCAGCACAGAGCCCGCCTCGTCTGATGAAGCTTATGTTGTAGCTTGTTTTCACCTCAGTGCAGTTGGAGAGAGATGTCTTTTGTGTTCGAATATGAATATTTTTTTTACTTTGCTGCAGAGTGGAGGTGCACAGTTGTTGAGAATCACTGAAATCCGCATACAATAATTAGTTTACACACAGGCACACAAAACATCATACAAAAGCAGCTTATGAGCCATGATAAATAATACATAGGCTGCACATTCCCTGATCAACATCTTGGAGGCATTTCTGAGAGCAGGTAATGTCAATCTGTGCACTGCTGTCATGAGGTGGTTTTGATCCACTAGTGGGTATTGTAGCTATGTGATGCTTCTTCAGACAGTAATGTGAGAATATCGTTAAATTTATGGATGATGTTACAAAATGTTTCGATCCACCATTCCCTCACCCCCTCCCCTCAAACTGTTATTGAACCTTCTGACTTTTGCGCACTGGTAGACCTATCAGATGTTACTAGATGGAAAACATCCAACACCGAATGAGCATACTGCTCAAAATGACTGTGCACTGCACTCACTCCAAGCCATGCAGGGCTCATGTTATTACAAGAAAAAACAGTACCATGTGTTGTTATAAGGAGAAAATCCAGTGTTGTAATAATGAGGAAAAACTGTGTTTTAATGTGAGCATATATCATAAAGACGAGAAAAGTATCTTGTTATAATGAAAGTGGCTTCTTGTTATAACAAAATACTAAGCAAGCATTTTGGTGAGTCGAATGTTGCCTAAATGACTATGGTATGGCCAGCATGTACATGTGTACTTGTGTACATAATGCAACCCCTAGTCACCAAAATGCTTCACTGTAATGATGGTATTAGCGATGAGCAGTGCCTGATCATCAGACATAGTACTTGGAATTCTGCCCAGAGAGTTCAGTTTTTGTCTCGATAGACCAGAGAGCCTTTTTCCTCATGTTGTCAGAGTTCCCTAAATCCTGTTTGATTAGCTCCTAGCAGCTGTCATATTTCCTTTACTCTAAGTGGCTTCTGTCTAGCCACTCTACCATAAAGGCTTTATTGATGGATAACCGATGAGATGGTTATCCTTCCTGCAGATTCTCCCATTTCTGCATAATGACTGTTGGGTTCTTGGTTACCTCTGTGACCGAGACACTAAAATCACCTAATACCATTGAATGGTTGTCACTTTGCAGTGCCATGCTGCATGTCCAACGTGCAAATTTCATGCTAACCTTGTGTTGCTTTGGCAGTGTGCAAAACACACTGTTCTGGCTGCACTGTTGGAGTGCCTTTGGGCAGAAACTAATTTGAAAAAATTGAACAGAGTAAACTTTAGTGTTTGACGGAGAGACCCTGTCCTATTAGCTTAGGAAAAAAACAGAAATCTAGGAGTCAAATCATCACATGCATCATGCTGTGGGTCAGCAAAGTTACAATCTGCTGATAGGATTTAGTGCAATTACAAAAGAGTGTGGCATGGTATTGTTTCTCACAGTTTTAATATGGTGCCGACTAGTGTTAGAGAACACATTCTGTAATACCTAGAGACATATTGTACATATTTCTTTTGTGTTGTAGGTGACTCTCTCTTATCTTTTGGATTTAGGGAACAAACAGTATTTTTTAGAGAACACACACAGTGAACAGTCGGGTGTAGGACCACAAACTTTTCAGCAGAAAATAGCTTTGAAATACAACTTTAATTTGTTGCATTCAGTTCAAATTTGGTATCTTGAGGTTCTAGGTGGTAGCATAGTTTTTCTTTTAAAAGTTTAAAGAGCCCATGGCATGCTCTTTTTGCTAATTTACAGCCATTTCATGTTTAATCTTGGGGACTTCTGGATTAGCTTTGCACCTGTCATAACTCCAAATAGTCTGTTAACTCAGAATGATAAAACCAGAGGCCCTATTCCTGAAAACGAGAGGATAGTTCGTGAATGCAAACACCTCCCGTTGCCAGTGTTGTCAAAATCTGTTTTCCCCATTGAGATGTGTTTTCCCTAACATTATCCTAACCACAACCACCGAGAGGGGCGCTGCTTGAAACTGAGTTTTGAACAGGGGAAACAAAAAACACTGACATTTTAACTGGCATAATGCAGACATAGTAACTTCTCCAGCCTTACGACTATTCTAACGTTACAGAAACAAGGCATTAGCAGACATGCAATGTATGTGTTTTTTAAAAACGTACTGTTAAGACCCACTGAGTAGTGGAAACATCACTCCCTTTCAAGTAGTTCTAGGGTCAGCAAATCCAACCAGTGATTGCTGAGTCTTCCCCCACAAATCCCTCGCGTTACAGGCGACCACATATAGTCCCAAAGTGGTGAAATGAATTCCAACAGGTAGTGTACCGATATGTGTATAAACTGAGTTGCTTCTGCATAGAAGTACTAGAACATACACCAAATCTTTTGAGCATTTGGTAATGTCTAAAATAATAATTCACTGTTGTAACATTTTATACAAGTCAGAAAACAAAGAAAAGCATGACATGGGCTTTTTAAACTAGGCTTTCTCCACTGTAAGTGACTAATACCATAAAGATCCCTGTGAGACTGGGGCTTGTCCGACCTGTCCAGCATGCTGCTGCTGCTGCTTTGTTTTTTCGTTTGTTTGTTTGTTTTTGTTTTGTTTTTTGAAAGCTTGACAGCTTTACTGACAATGTTTCAGTGTCAGTGTATCTGTATAGGTTTTGTGGTGATGCGTAGTAACATAAGTATGTAGTGGCTGATAATGTTTCTGACAGGTCTGGAATTTGAGCCTAATCACTTCTTTTATATACTAAAGTTCAGAGGGAGTTCCTATTTGACATTCCCGGTGATTTTAACTAGGGCTGCATGATGAACCATTTTGTGCACATGATTTAAATCGCTGTGTGGTCTCAGTCTCACATGACAATGATTCTGCCATGTTTGCATTATCAGAGAAATCCCTTACATCAAACCAAGCGCTCCCTTTTCTTTGCTAAGCTGTGTTAACCAATAACTGCAACTAATAACTTCAAAGTGATTTATTTCAGCCTCAACTGCTATTCAGCACTAGGTGTACAGGGCAGGCAGTACAACGTTTGAAAAAAGTTGCAGGAGGGCACAGAATGTCAAACCTGTTGGATTTGTTTTTGAATCAGTCTCTTCTTCCTGCCCAAAGCTTGTCACGTGATGTAATGCATTCCTGTTATTGGTTAATGCAGCTTAGTAAGGAAAAGGGAGTGCTTGGTTTGATGCAAGGCATCTCCCTGTTAATGCAGGCATGGCAGAATGTTTGTCACATGAGACCGAGATTGCAAAGTGATCTAAATCACGCTCACAAAATGATTTATTGTGAAGCATTAACTAATTCGTATCGCAACCAAAGACTGAACGTGTAACCAAGATACACAACTTTTTGGAGATGAGAAAGCTAAAGTGGAGGAGGTGATGGGATGGACGAATACGGTTGCACTCACTGGAGACTACTGGACTTCTCAGTAATCATTTACCTAGGGGTCCCTTTACTGCAGGTGCATGTTTTTCATTGGTTTAAAGCTGTATAGTATACTTTATAGGACAGTATGTGAGCACTGATGCTCTGAAACTCTCAGCTGACCTTTAGATAGGCTCTACTGCCAAGCATGAGGTCACATTGCTATGGTGACAAGGTCAAGGCTTACTTTTATGGACATGTACACTCAGAGCTGGTGAAGCGGAGTGGTGAGGACAGTCACACTGGGCCACAGGCCAGCAAAATACAGAAGTCCTCTGTTCTCTGCAGCTCACTCTCATTCTCACTCTAGCTCTCTGGCCTGACTGGCTGTTGTCAAATCGAAATCTGGCACTAAATCGGGGATAGACTTGCTCTGGATGTGATATTGTCACCTGGTCAGTGTCGTGCACCTTGTATGTGAGGAATGTTTCTCCATGGCCTTGGCTAGTCAGTGTGCCTAATTCTAGTGTGCCCTTGGAGCATTTAATAAGTAGTTTCAGGTTGTTAGTCGGTGAAACCAGATGAAACTATGGCCTGTTCAGTACAGTTTAAATATTGTAGAAGCTAAATGCAGATTTCGGAGCCTGTTCCACCATTTAAAAAACAAAAACATTATTTGTACTTTCTAATGGTTGTACAGCTACAACAGCTGAGATATACCTTGATAATTTTGGAAGGGTATGGTGGACAAATATTGGAAAAATATCTTATCAATAATTCCACATATGTTTTTACTGTTTATTACACCATTACGTCATAGTTGAAAACTTTCCCACTTTAAGTATATCAAAGATTTTGCAGCACTTTGACAACAGGTTATGTCATCTCTCTTCATCTTTTCTGATTCATTACATCATAAAATATTTTAAGCTTGCATCTGTTTTCCCTCCTCTCTCCCTCATTTTGCCTTTTATTTTCTTTTTGTATGGTACAGGGTGGTACGGCCCTTTTTAAGAACGTAAGTGTGTGTGTGTGTGTGTGTGTATGTGTATTTTAGTGTGTTGGTTAAACACGAGATAAGAGTCGACTCTGC